CGCAGGGAGGTGGGTGGCTCAACGCAGGAGCACCCCCTACTGGTCCGCCTCACGTGGTGGAAACAGCAGAGGGATATGAATACCCAGCTGTGTTCCTGAGGTGGGATCTCTGCACCCGCCACAGACACCAACTTCTTTAGTTGAGAATACCTCTTGCATACACCTCCTGCTATCAGACCTTACCACTGTAAACACCTAAATATCAAATTTAAGCTGGGGGCAACAATAAGTGTAACATTCTGTGGGCATGCCTTCAGAATCTCATGCTCAGAGTGAGGCTTTCACATTTGAATCACCTGACTCAAAATTAACAGTAGTGGCCTTCAGAGGTGATTATTATTGTAAGGTAAATTAATATTGAGCTTTCACAATAAACTGCCCCAAACAGCAAGGTTTCAGCAGCATACAGATGAAGCCATTAACAACAGGAGTAAAGAATGGGTATAATCAAATTTTTATTGTCTAGAACATGTTTTGAGATCCTTGGATAAGCAAAGTAGTTTTGTTATTACAGGAAATTGGATGTACATTCCTGATATGTACTAATTAGAGTGGATTAGAGTTGGAACAGCTATTTTCCCATTATATTTGTGGGGGGGAACCTTGGGTTTGTGCCATTAAGTGTTGATAAAGTCAGATTGTCCCATGTATAATGCACTCTGAGCCATGGTGCACACCTCAAACTTGATTGAGGGACACTTGCAAGGTTCTCTTTCAATGGAGGAATGTCATTGGTGGGATCCACTCTTGTCAGATACAAACCCTCCCTCTGTAAGCAAGCATGAAACTGGGATGCATATGCAGATTAACAAATGGCCAGGATGCAGGACATGCTGTTTTACTTTTCCAGTTCAAAGAATAATGGCCGACAATTGGAGTTACCCTGGCGGGCCACACACCATCCACGGGTCATGTTGTGTGCCCCTGCTCTATGCTTAAATCAACTCCACCTCCACCTCCACCTCACTCCATTAGGGAAGAAGTTCTTCTCAGCCAGAATGACTGACCTGCTTGACTGGGCTTTTAACTAAGCTCGCCAGGGGATGGGCAGACAACCACCAGTGCAAGCTCACCAAGCATCAACCACAAAATCAGCAGGTTAGGCTGCTCAAGGGAACTCACTCCTACCCTAACCCAGGAATGGAGCTTTTCTAGGAGTGAAAGGAAGCCTAGGGCCTCCAACACCACACTTACTTGCCTGTACACAAATGCCAGGACCTTATGGAATAAACAGGAGGAACTGGTCCTTCTGCTAAACAGAAATGACTATGATCTCATAGAGATAACAGAGACCTAGTGGGACTCCTCCTATGACTGGACCACAAGTATAGATGGGTATACCCTGTACAGGAGAGATCATGCTAAAAAACAGGGTGGGGGTGTAGCTGTCTATGTGAAGGAGCAGTACCCTTCCCTACAAGCAGAGATTAGCACCCAAGGAGGATGACTGGAGACCCCCTGGGTTAGAATACAAGGGGAACATGGTGAAGGGGTTACAATGATAGGAGTCTACTACAGACCTCCAAATCAGGAACAAGAGCTTGACCATGAATTCACTAGGGAACTGGATGAGGTTGCACGCTCTTGGTACATGATTGTAATGGGAGACTTCAACTACATGGACATCTCCTGGGAAGAGCACTCAGCCAAATCTGATCAGTCACAAAGCTTCCTTACATGCATGGATGAGCTCTACCCATCTCAAGAAAGGTACTGGTCAAAATGGATGGTCTAGTCAGCAACCTAAGAATCAGAAGGAAGCTGGGAGACAGTGACCACAAATTGATCACTTTCACTATCCGTCACAAAGCTGGCAAGTCAGTCAGCAATGCAGAAGTCCTCGACTTTAGGAAAGCCAACTTCCATAAGCTCAGGAGGCTTGTTGTCAAGACCCTGAGAAGCCATGGTTTGACAGGGAGGGGAGTTCATGATGAGTGGTCATTCCTTAAGGAAGCAATCCTAGAAGCACAAGAGAAGTCCATTCCAGCCCATAGGAAAGGTAGTAAAAGGGCTCAGCAACCCTCTTGGCTCAGCAAGGAACTCATGGACCTCCTACATCTAAAAAGAGAGGCTTATGAAGGATAGAAGACAGAAAACACCACTAAGGAGGAGTATTCTGCACTGGTCTGTACCTTTAGGGAGCAAACTAGGAAAGCCAAGGCTGTAACCAAACTCCAACTGGCTATACGAATCAAGGACAATAAAAAGTCCTTCTTTAGATATGTGCAAAGTCATAAAAAAACAAGGGCAACATTGGACCCCTGATAAGCCAAATGGGGCAGCTGACATCTGACACCCAGAAAAAAGCCAATCTGCTTAACAATTAATTTGTGTCAGTCTTTCACCAACTCAAACGGACCATCCTCCCTGACAAGATGCAGGATGACCAGGGTAAGGGTGAATATATGCCCACCATTGACGTAGGTCTTGCAAGGGAACACCTTGAGAGGCTGGACACCCACAAATCAGCTGGTCCGCATAGATTGCACCCAAGATTGCTAAAGGCACTGGCAGACATCATAGCGCGGTCACTGGCAAGGATATTCGAGAACTTGTGGTGCTCGAGTGAAGTACCTGAAGACTGGAAGAGGGCCAATGTGGTGCCTATCTTCCTGACCAGAAGGAAGGAAACTACAGGCCAATCAGTTTGACCTCAATCCCTGGAAAGATCTTGGAAAAATTATCAAAGAAACCATTATCGACAGGCTAACAGATGGCAACATTCTGAGAGATAATCAGCATAGGTTTGTTGCAGGTAGGTCTTGCCTGACCAATCTCATTTCCTTCCAAGAAAAATAGGTTGATATCATATATTTGGACTTTAAAAAAACCTTTGACCTGGTGCCCCATGATGTCCTCACGGAGAAATTGAGGGACTGTGGCCTCAACTACCCTACAGTCCAATAGTTGAGGAACTGGCTCCAAGGTCAGACCCAGACGGTGGTAGTTGATGGAACCAAATCAACATGGCAGACAGTGACCAGTGGTGTCCCCCAAGGCTCCATTCTTGGACCTGTACTCTTTAATATCTTTATAAATGATCTGGACTCTGGTGTCAGAAGCAGACTGGCTAAGTTTGTTGATGACACCAAACTATGGGAAAGAGTATCCACACCTGAGGATAATCTGGGGATCCAGGCTGACCTTGATAGGCTCACAGGGTGGGCAGATGAAAACCTGATGGTCGTCAATATGGAGAAAAGCAAGGTGCACTACCTCAGGGGAAAAAAAAAACTTGCATCACACTTATAGGCTTGGCAGTGTTACACTTGCTAGCACCATGACCAAAAGAGATTTGAGGGTCATGATTGACCACAAGATGAACATGAGCCACCAAGACAATACCGCAGCCAGAAAAGTAAACAAAACTCTGGTGTGCATCTAGCAATGCTTCTCAAGCAAGACCCAGGAAGTCATCCTCCCACTGTGCTCAGCCTTGGTGAGGCCACAGCTGAAGTACTGCATCTAATTCTGGGCTCCACAATTCAGAAAGGATGTGGAGAAGCTTGAAAGAGTCCAGAGCCCACATGCATGATCAGAGGGCAAGAGACCATGCCTTATGAAGAAAGGCTGAGAGCCATGGGACTCTTCAGACTGAAGAAGTGTAGGCTCAGGGGTGACTTGGTGGCAGCATACAGGTACATAAGGGGTGTGCATCAAGATCTGGTGGAACACCTGGTCACCAGAGCACCCCATGGGAAGACAAGATCCAATGGTCACAAACTCCTGGAAGACAATTTTAGGCTGGGGATAAGGAAAAACTTCTTTACTGTCCACGCCCCCAAGGCCTGGAATAGACTCCCCCCAAAGGTGGGGCAAGTACCTACTCTGGACACTTTCAAGAAACATTTGGATGCCTAACTTGCTGGGATCCTTTGACCCTAGCTAACTTCCTGCCCGTTGGGTAGGGGGCCTGGACCCAATGATCTCACAAGGTCCCTTCAGGAAGTGCTCATTTGCCTGCCCAGAATCTTCCCCCAACACTTACAGACTTTACAGAAGGTGCTACATGCAGTCCCCATAAGGTAAAGATTCAAAGACTGGGAACAAACTCAGACAGGTGTGGACAACTAGGAGAGGACCCCCTTTTAACCTCCTCTGCCCTGCATAAAACAGCTCCCTTCCACTTATCTCAGGGACTGCCACTGTGAGTAGATACGTTGTAAATCATCTAGCTTTCCACCCCAGAGCAAACTGGCCTTTTGAGGCTTACCAGCTCCATAAAGCCATGTTACAGTCTGTTCTATCCTAGACTGCCCATCAAATAATAAAACCTTAATGCTCTACTACTGTTCATTACAGCTTTCATTTCTGTTGAGAGTCCAAAGATCAAACAACACCATTAAAACTTAAAGAGATACTCACCCCAGAGAGCCATAAATATGGAGAAGAACACCGTGGCAGGGTTGTCAAATAAGTGGCTAGCCCGTGCTGTACCACATGCGGAACTGAGGTTCCAGTAGTCACAGAACTTGTCACACAGAGGGCACATGGTGAAGGCATTATGTTGGTCACACATCTCTCTACTACAAATGACAAGGGCAAAAACATCAGAGTGTAATTCCAGTAAAAGAGGGCACAGGCACTGTAGTGGCATGAAGCAGCAATGCTTATGTTAGGAGGATTAAGTGCAGTGAAAACTGTTCTGTCACTGGAATAACTCATTACTATGTTTTTCTTAGTCAGTGCACTGAATCTTCGCTAGTGTCCCATTGATTTGTACACAAAACACTCTGGCTAATTTATAATCTGCTTGTGTAATTAGTCATTTCCAAATGTATGCACATATTAAATCACAATGGAATTTACTTCTGATAATTAGTCATCTATAAAAGGTACCTTACACCTCTGTCCCTAGCACCTCTCGAGTCAACTGGTGCTTACAAAGCATTGGGTACACTCCAATTATTTTTAGCTCAATGAGACAATCAACTTTTCCATTTTACAGAATGATCTTCTGTTTTGGCAATGAGTGCACGTAAGAAAACAAAACAACACTCTTTGGATGATTATTTTACTCCATCATAATTCTTACATGGTGAGTACTCTGAGTTTTTGTAGCAAGAAACTGTAGATTAAGAATTCACTTATAATCACACAGTTCTCATAGAGTGAGCAAGAGCATATACAATTTGTGCTCAGAGTTTTTGTAATTTATTTTTTTCTCCACTATAAATGCCAAAAAATCATTCTTTTCTGTGTCAATACAGCATCCAAAATGCATGAAGAGCTGAAAATGGCTTAGTACTGATAGTTAATCAGTCATCTGGTAATTACCCACCATTACCAAACTCCTTGGAATGATATATTAGCCAGATTTCACTGTGCAAATAGGTACTTCACTGAAGGATAACCAGTGCAATACAATAAACCACTTTAATTACTTCAGTTCACAATAAAAGTGAATCACAAAAACTTTACTCTTAGAGTAAAAAGAAATCATTATAAAAAGACCCCTGGGATTATTAA